ACCTGTTTAAAATGGTTTAAGACATGCAACATAAAATTTCAGTGAATTTAAGACCTTTTTAAGGCCTAAAATTTTTTAATTTAAGACATTTTAAGATTGTTTAAAACCCTGAGGACACCCCGCTACACAACAAACCACTGTTATACAATGACTTGCCTAATTACCCTAGTGAAGCACTTAAATGTGACTTTAAGCTGTATAGAAGTGTCTTGAAGAATATCTAGTCTAATATTATTTACTGTCATCATGGAGAAGAGAAAATAAATCAGTTATTAGAGATGAGTTATTAACACTATTATGTGTAGAAATGTGTTGGAGAAATCTGCTCTCCACTAAACAGAAATGAAGAGAAACAATATACTGCAGGGCGAATAACTCCTCCAAATCCTTTTACTCTGATGAGGAAAATATACTGGGGTTGCACTGAAACGTGTAAATAAACCTCATCTTGCTACTGACCTGGGCTCTGAGCTGCGTGTGGTCTTTTACTGGGGTTCAGCAGAGACGTGTCACTGAGCTGTAATGAACGGACACAAACACAGGCGGTCAGCATCAGCAGCAGGGAATATAAGGCAGAAGGATAGACACTGTGGACGCAGTACCGCTTCATCTGAACTCTTCTTCGCAGGCAGTATGTGCACTTGTGGCGGAGGGTTACTGTTGTACTCGCGCACTCGCGCACAGGTCATCATGCTCTCCAGATACAGGTAAACCGGATCCTTCTCCATTGGAACCTGCAGGACAATACAGGATAGCACATAAACACACACACACTGCATTACAGAAACAGGAGACTTGCGGACGCATTTGTGCTGAGAATAGGGTTCATTGCCCCACAATTATGAATAAACATATCCTAAAACATGAACATGCTAGAGATTCTGACTGAATCAATTACTGAATCATTTAAGCTCATCAACACACTGTGTTCAGAGTGACTCTTTGGTGACGCTGCTGCTGTTTCTGCTCCATTGACGTCCATTATAATCACATTACAGATTGTAAAGTCCTGACAGCAGATACTCATGTAATATACGAATGCTGCTGGTTCTCTCTGTTATTAAGAGGGTAACTATTACTCTTGGTCATCAGTTGCAGTGCAAAAGAAAAGAGTTTCTGTTTTTTATATGGAGTACAGTGTGAGTGTGTCTAATAAAACATACTCGGGTTTAGATCAGGGGTCTCAAACTTAAATTGGCAGGGGGTCATTTCAGTGACTGACAGTTCATAGGAGGACCACTTTAATATTCAAGCACATGAAAACAGTGGAAACTTGATGTAATTCAGGGGTCACCAACATGGGCCTGTTCTAAAAATAGCTCACCATAGCACCACATATGAGTAAGCTGCATCTAATATTTTTATAGGTATTCTTTTTAAATCACACTTGCATTGGTGTAAAATTGAAAATTACTTCAAGTTATATATTTTAAAAAACTATTTCAGACAAATGAAGTGTTGCATATTGATATTTATCTAACTTGTTAAATCATTGTTGACAACTACTGTGAGAAATCATTAACATGATCAATGTCTTCACATAGATGAATATTATTAATTATTAATAATAACAACATATAATTAAAAGTAAATTAAGAAAAATGTGTTATTTAATAACTGGTAGCCCTTCACACTAATCGGTACCCAAGAAGTAGCTCTCAGTTTCCAAAAGGTTGGTGACCCCTGAAGTAACTGATGCACTCAGACATTCTTCCCCAGAGTTTTAAAGCTCTTTCTTTTTGTTTCTTGCTGTATATTCACATTGCTATGACAATACTACAATTTAATAATAGACATAATAATAATTATTGTTGTTCTGTCCCAGAACCAAACTTAACCAAAAGTTTAACAGAACAGCAGAAAGCAGATTGGGCAACTTTAGTGACTTTACTGGCTTTTGTTCTCAGTTTTTTTTTCTTTTTTTTGTAAAACTACAACAAAGAAGGGGGAAAGTGTGTCCATATGCACGTTTACTGTAACTTGTTCAGCTCAGCCAGCAGTACAATTTTACTAATGCCCATTTTTATACGAGTCTAAATTTGGATGAGGAAAATCTTTTAATGAGGCCATTTAAATTGAAGATTAGCAAAACTATCATATATACACCACCAGAATAACATGTAAGCCATGAAGAGGTGTCTGTACAACACAATACAGGTGGTATAAAACTGATTACAATCAAACAACACTTGAATATTTACAAAAATAGAGCTTTAGTGAAAATAGGGCACTTTTAGACATACAGTCAGAATTATTCAACACCTTAGAATTTTTTTCTTTCTTAAATATTTCCCAAATGATGTTGAACAGATTCAGGAAATGTTCACAGTATGTCTGATAATATTTGTTTTTTTTGTATAAGTCTTATGTGTTTTATTTCGACTAGAATAAAAGCAGTTCTTAATTTTTTAACACTATTTTAAGGACAATATTATTAGCCCCTTTAAGCTATTTATTTTTCCAATAGTCTACAGAACAAACCATCATTATACAATAACTTGCCTAATCACCCTAACCTGCCTAGTTACCCTAATTACCCTAGTGAAGCCTTTAAATGTCACTGTAAGCTGTATAGAAGTGTCTTGAAGAATATCTAGTCTAATATTATTTACTGTCATCATGACAAAGAGAAAATAAATCAGTTATTAGAGATGAGTTATTAACACTATTATGATTAGAAATGAGCTGAAAAAATCTTTACCTCATTAAACAATGAGGGAGACAAATAAACAGGAGGGCGAATAATTCCGACTTCAACTGTATATTCAACTGTTACATCAGCCCCAGAAATAATCTGCATGTGTGTTCCTCTAGACCGCACGCTGAGAGAAACGAAAGTTACCCAAACATATAGTGAAGTACTTTAAATGTCCAGTAGGTGGGGGTCATGCGACTGAAAAACAATGATAGTGATGCAAAAATATGTGGTTTGGGGGCCGAATCTTGAAAACATTTGCAAAAAAAAAAAAAAACAATAATTAAAGTGCACCTATTATGCAGAAATGACTTTGATGTAGGGTTTAAGCACAGTTTTGTGTGTCTGTCAGCAGTGTGAGTATCTCCAGCAGCCTCTAATGAGGGGGAAATCCCCGCCCACTAGTGTCCATCTCATTAGCATCTCCAGCATCCCTGAGTGAGAAGCAGCCGTCTGTCCATTAGCCATGACGCCCAGCGTTAGCGTCAACGATTCCCTTTCACTTTGAATGGGTGACGTCAGGCGTTGCTGAACTGCATTGTGGATCTGTCGGCGCCGCTTCAGAGGAGTTGCTCGCTGCAGAAGTTGGGACTAGCTCAATTTTTCAAGCGCCAAGGTGAGCGTCAGCGAATCATTTACATTTACATTTAGTCATTTAGCAGACGCTTTTATCCAAAGCGACTTACAATAGAGG